CGAACTGCTCGCCGGCCTCCGCCACGTTCGGCTTCCGCAGGAACCGCTTCTTCAGCTTGTTCAGCACCTGCCGGTATCTGGCCAGGAAGTCCCCGGCATCCATCCCCAGTCCGGAAAAGCCACCCAGGCCGCTGGAGGACGCCGCCATGTTCCCAGCCCAAGCGCTTCCTCTGGGCGGACTTTGTGGGTGCAGGCAGCTGACAGCGACGTGCCCTGCGTCCCCCATCGGCCTCCCTCCCACAGAGCAGGCACAGGCATCCCACGCCCTATCGTTGCCCTGGTGATATGTAAATACAGGATGCCCTGGGCGGGGCCTTGTCTGGTACAATGAATATGAACGAATCAAGGCTCCTGGGGTGGGGCCTGGCTGCAAGCCCTCTGTTGCTAGGTGACAGCTTGTTTACCCAGGTTGCTAAGGGTGTCTCCAGCATCTCTAAGGGAACAGGACCAAAAATAAACTCGTGACCAGGCGTGACGCTCATTCTGATTTTGCATCTTTCTCCTTGTCCCCGCTCCCCTTCACTCCTCAATCTTCCTGTCAAAGCCCTCTTGGAGTCTATGCCAACCACTCCGCCCACCCCTCCATTCTGCAGGCGGGTTGGCATTGCACCTTCACCCTATCACGATGCCTGAGTCATGGTCTTGCACTCCACCCCAGTGAACACCAGCCTTCTGGGGACCTTGCCAGGCTCTGACTTGCTCAGAGACGATGGGGGAGTTTTCCAGACCCCAGCCTACCCCCACCCAGCCGGCCTCTCCCACCCTGGACCACCCCCTGCACTGTCACCATGGGGGGCTGCTCCTCTCTTGTCATCCCCGACTCCACCCCCGCCCCCAGGAACACACCACCACCAGCCCATCCCTCCAACCACCTCCCACACAGAGTGACTGAAGCAGGCACATGGGTTTCCTTCAACACTTTATTTTCAATAACTTGGCCCAAGGCGCCAGACAGGCCCGGGCTGCCTGGGCTGTGAGTGGGCCGAGGCCCGGGGAGCCCAGGTCATGTTGGGAAGCTACCGCCTGCCCGGGGCCACTTGGGAGATGGTGGTGTTCTCAAAGAAGCCGCTGAGCAGTGCGTTGTTGTGGATCGCCATGTCCAGCAGCTCCGGGGTGATGCGCCTGCAGCCGATTTTCTGGGCCTCGTTGCCCGCCAGCTCCAGGACCGTGGCCGTCAGGTACTGGATGATGGCCGCCAGGTACACGGGTGCGTTGGCGCTGAGACGCTGGGTGTAGTGGCCGTCCCGCAGGAGGTGCTCCAGGTGGCTCACGGAGAAGGTCAATTCAGCTCTGCTGGTGCGGCTGCGGGTGCGGTTCCGCCTCTGGTGATCAGAAGACCCTCCGCGGCTCCTTTGCCCAGACATGATGGGTGCTGGGGTGCACTGTCTCCGACCCGCCTGGATCTACAGTGCGCTGTGGCGTGCTGCGGTGCGGTTCAGTGCGGTCAAGTGCAGGAAGATGCCAGTTGGTCTCAACCGCTCAAGATGGCCAGTACAGAGGCTCCTGCTCTGTATCCTAGCGACCATGGACCGACCCCTCATTGGTCCAGGTACAGGCTGTATGACACATAAGTTCTGTGAGGTCACTGCTTTCCCATTGGCCCTGGTGGGCCGGGGCCTGCAAAGAAGGGGTGCTGGCAGCTCCCTGCTCACCCTTGCCATGGGACCCTCTCTTTGAGGGAACTCTCACTGTCCACTGGACAGGAATGTTGTAGAGAAAAAACATGTGGGATCCAGTGGCACCAGGTATAACTGGTGATGTTGGACAGCCAGCACACCTACTTCCAAAACGTTGGAACCTCCCCAAAAGAAACCCCTGTACCCTGTGTGGCAGTCACTCCCACTGCCCTCCTCCTCTCCTGGACCCAGGCAACCATGAACCTGCTTCCTGTCCATAGAGGCTCGCCTATTCTGGAAATTTCTAGGGATGTAATCATAGGATAAACAGGTGGCTTTTTGTGTCTGCCTACTTTCACTGAACATAATGGTCTCATTATGGTTCACCCTGGTGGTAGCATGAATCAGCACTTTATTCCCTTTTCATGCCTGAATAATATTCCCTTGTATGGGTGGACTACATGTTGGGCATGGGTTCCTCAGTTGGTGGATGTTTGGGTCATTTTCACCTACTGGCTGTTGTGAATAGCACCGCGGTGAACATTCCTGCACAGAGTTCTGTTTGAACACCTGTTTTCCGTTCTTCTGTGTGTCTATCTAGGAGCGGAATTGCCAGGCCATGTGGTAATTCTATGTTTAACTTACTGAGGAACCGCACACTGATTTCCATAGTGATGGTTCCATTTTACAGTTCTGACAACAGTGTCTGAGGGCCCCAATTGCTCCATATCCTCATCAAAACTTATTTCCCTTTTGTCTTGCTTATAATCGCCATCCCAGTGGGTGTGAAGTGGTATCTCCTGGTTTTGATTTGCATTTCCCTAATGGCTAGTGATGTGGAGCATCCTTTCATGTGCCTCTTGGCTATTTGTACACCTGCTTTGGAGGAAGCAGATGTACTTTCAACTGCTTTGCCCATTTCCTAAAACTGGGCTGCTTGTCTTTTCTGTTGCTGAGTTTTAAGTCTGGAAAGTAGGCCACTATCAGATATATAATTTGCAAATGTCTCTCCCATACTGAAGGTTGTCCTTTCACTTTCTAGATAGAGTCCTTTGATGCATAAAAGTTTAGTATTTGGATGCCATACAATTTATCTGTTTTTTTTTCTTTGTCTTTTGTGGCTTTGCTTTTGCTCTCATATTTTGTACCCGTTGCCTAATCCAAGGTCATGGGGATTTGCACCTATGCTTTATTTCAAGAGTTATATTGTTTCAGCCCTTAAGTTTAGGTCTGTGGTCCATCAGATTTAATATTTGTACCTGGTGTGAGTTTGGGGTCCATATTCATTCTTATCTCTGTGGATATCGAGTTGTCCCTGCACCCCCTTTTTTTAAAAAGAGATGTTTCATTCTTCCATTGAATGGTCTTGGTACCCTTATTGGAAATCAATTATTTATACATATATGAGTTTATTTATGACTCTAAATTCTAAAACATTGACCTACAATAGGCCTATGGTTATGCCAGGGCCACACTTTGTAGGATTGCTATAGCTTTGTAGTTAGCACTGAAATTGGGAAGTGAGAGTCCTCCCACTTCGTTCTTCTTTGTGAGAGTGTTTTGGCTATCCATATTCCTTGCATTTCCATGTGAATTTAAGGGTCAGCTTGTCAATTTTCACAAGGAAACCAAGTTAGATTGTAACAGGTATGGCACTGAGTCTGAATATTGCCTTGGGGATTGTGGCCATCTTAGCAATACTAAATGCTCAATCCACTAACACGGGATGCCTTTCCATTTATTTCGGTCCTCTTTCATTTCCTTCAGCAATGGTTTGCACTTTTCAGAGTACAAGTCTGACATGTCTTTTGTTAAATTTATTCCTCAGTATTGTATTTTCTTTTGGATGATACTATAAAAGCCATGATTTTCCTAACCTCATTTTTGGAATGTTCGTTGCTAGTGTATAGAAATACAACTGATGCTTGCGCATTGATCTGGGCTCCTGCAACTTTGCTGAGCTCCTTTATTGCATATTTGAATAGGCTGTTGT